TCAAATTGTATTGCGAATGAATGTGATTAATGCCAACGTTTAGCTCTTTTCTGCCGGTATAATAAATAATTGAATCGTATCTCGCATTCACATTTTGACATTTGGCTACGTAAACAGGCCAGTATCCATTTCGATGTAACAAACGAGCCGCTATACAAACAAAGTCGATCCAATTGTGGAGGAGATACAAGAAACCGAAATTGTCCTGCATTTACATACTGAATTGCATCCAAATTATGTTGTTCTCATAAATTATACTCTGCATAAACCCTAAATAATATACAACAATTTCTTTTTTACATTTTTCAAGAAAATAAGCGCGTCCCAGACGCGAGAAAGAAAATATACCGAATCTCTCTTTAACCCTCAACTGCATAAGCCCGCCTTTTGGCGGGCATCATTTAAACACCTGTATAATGTGAATCGTACGGCGGATGACATTGCTTCAAGGGGAATTTTTATTTGTCAATGTTTTTTCTTTATTTTTGTCTTTGGCGTCATTTGTCTATGTCGTACGATTGGTGAGTTATAAGCAAAAATGTGCACGAAAACGAAAATTTGACAAAATAAATTATTCGGTTTCCAAATTGGACATATTTTTGACACTTTTAAACAATGGATTTCATTGTTCTCTGACTTATTTCTATCGCATTTCCTGACTAAACCATGGGAAATCTAGGATTATGAATATTTTTTTCGTTATCTATGGCCAAAAATCAACCAAATACCAGTACTCCAAGTCCTAGGAAAAATTCATGCAGTTGAGGGTTAAACATAAATAAGTGAATAATAAAGTCAACACAATAAAATCGCTGTATGAAAAGAGTCATTGCTACTGTTTATCGCTTTGTTCACCACTTTGAATGGAACTGTTGCACGAAAAAATTCACTTGAAATTACTTTTTATCGAAAATTGTCTGAAGCATGTTTATTATCGTAAAATTTTGTTCTTGCAAAGTGATACAATTTGACAATAATTTCCATATCTTTATGCTCGAGTTTTTCGAAAAGTTTCGTTTCGAATGTTATCGACATCTCAATGTGGCTCGCTATCACATCCATTTGCACTGTATACTCAAATGTCAAGTGAGTTTCTACTTAGAAAAACTTTCACGTCATCGTTTGTTTTTATTTTCTCCAGAAATGGATTCATTGAACTGCTGCCAATCTAGCAATGCAGCAAGTGTTTTCAAGTCAAAGTCAAAAGCATGAATTTCAATGGCATTCAATTTGAATGAGCATGGAGAAAACTTGGTTAATGGTTTTTATCGATCATAAAATATCGCTTATATTTTGTCGTCGTCGTCGTCGTAAGTACTACTACTAATAATCATAATCGATAATATATCGATTGCTGTGCGAGTTAAAGAACCCACAATTCAACGAAACAATTAACCGCGTTTGGTGCTGTAACCTTGAAATGCCTTGGTTGAATAAATTCATCAAACTCCCGCGCGTCATCATCAAGTACTTTTAAGTACATACATTTCCTTTGAGCAATTTTTTCTCAGTGAAAATTCATATTTTTTTTGGCACTGTTGTCATGTTCATTGTTTTATGTCGTTCATTAGAAAGAAAATGCCATTCACAGTTGTCACATATCCGCCGCTTTGTGTTGCGAAAGCAAGTAAGCAGGAACAACAACAAACAAGAACAACCGAAAAAAAACACGAATTCAATAGAAACGAAAAGCGATTGAGTTCGCAATTTTTTTTCAAACCTGCTCAATGGAATGTAAAGAAATGTGAAACAAAAATTTATGGTATGGCATGGATATCGTCATTCAACACGTTTCTCATAATGCACAAATGGAGGATAAAATGACGTGACTTTCATAGCAAATGTGTGAAAGCCAACGTAACAAGTAGAACTGTCGAGAACACGAAACAACAGCAACACACAAACAGAGGGAGGGAGAGAGAGAGAGACCGAAAAAATCCATAACAACAATGAATTATTGCCCTTAAGGAGGAAAAAGAGCATTAGAAGTTTGGGTACTACTATACGCTCTTTTGCATCGATATCAAACCAAACGACAAACCACACATAGTAAGCAATAATTCGACTTGCTCAAGCTTTTTGTGGAAATGCTATCAAAAGTTATTAGTTCATGAAGATGAATTTACTGGCCACTTCTTCTTTTATTGCTCTCCAGCAATTCATCTATAAATACTTATACAATATACCACATAAATTTGGCTACAATAATCTTCGGCTCTGACTTGAATAAAATATTCTCTATGCGTTGCACAAATTGTTGAAGTGATTGATTGGAGAAATCTGCTGAGGCCGATTTTCATGTCATATTCCTTTTTATAGTACACCCCTTGAAAGGTCAATAAACTACTCGATAAATCTTCGTCTTGTGGTTCAATGAAATGTGGTAAAGAAAGACTAAGAGCTTTCCGGTTTCACATTAAAAAAAAAATGAAGGTGATAGCATTGCGGCTAGCATTCCAGTACTCTGAGTACCAATAAACTTTTATACTTTATATTTACTTGGATTCAATTAAGTTTTGATATTAAGCAGAAACACGAAAACTTGAAGACAGAAGAAAAACAATATAGATTTCGATTGTTTTGAAACATTTGATAACATCTTATGGGGAGATTAGTAGTTGTTAGTAGTTCTGCGGATGAAATTGTACATGTTTCTGCTAAGTAAATTGGTGAATGTATCGTAACGGTTGTTATTTCTATCGGAATTGATGTCAACTCCAAATTGGAACCATTTTCCATGCCGTTTAGTGAACAGTAGTGACCCACTATTATACGACCCTTTTCCGTGATCTCCGCTGACATTTACGTTTATATAATGGTTATCATCTCTGTGTGAATTTTCATATGTTCTACCAACGACATATCGCAAAATTGGTGATGAAAAATGGCCAAATTCACCTCATCCACTTCCATACACCTTCAAGTTTTCAGACGGTTTCAATAAACGAATCATGTCGGCTGAACTCTTGCATCATTTCGGATAAGTGCTACATCATATTTGTTTTTAAACGGAACGAAATTTGGATGAATGAACGATGAATTTGTTTCAACTTCTTTGACACCGGTAACGGTATCATATCTCATACGATAGGATTCACATTCCACATTTAATGGCACAGCCAGCCGATGTCAACACATATCGATGGTTAATTATTGATCCAGCGCACCAAATAGTGTTGCCAGTCTCCTTTGACTTGCACAAAATCGATACCATAAAGGAAATTGACCCGTTGGTACAAATCCACCGCCGTACTCTGTACAAATCCGCAAAATATAGGTCAATCAATTGCTCATTCAAGAGAGTTAATATTCAACCGGGAAAAAAAACACTTACATTGTCGGCGCTTGCAGTCGTGAGGTATAAAACACTCACAACTACGATAATCTGAGTAAATAAAGCCATTTCCATGGATCTTCGAAAATTGAATGGAGTGCATGAATTGGAGTAGGTGTTTTTATAGAAAGATTTCGAGTTTTTTGTTCATCCGACTCAAGTGTTTTTCACTTTTAATCACAGCTTTTACGCAAACAAATAAATCACTCAAGATTAAAAATGAATTGGATAAGCCATTTTCAGATAATCCTAGAAAACCTTATACCTATAGTTTAAATAGAGGAAAATTTCAAATTATGTGTCAAAATTGTGCTTATATTTGAACATATGTCCAAACTGTGTGCAATATATGTGCATACTGCGTGCATGCTAGATTATGCACATTTTATGTCCAAATTTTAGTTAAATTTTACACAATTTAACAAAAAGCTAACTATATATTTTTTTATTTGTTTTAAAACGTGTAAAAATTAGGCATAATTTGTATACCATGTATAGGCACATTTAAGCACGTAAATGGTTCATTGGGATTATTACTATTTCTACGAATATTATTACTATTCGTAGCAACCTTTTGTGATAGATTCTCATTCAACTTATTCAGAACTAAACATCGAATACTCGAACACTTTCTGAATGTAATTTCCTATGGTTTTTGTTTAACTTATTGATTTTTCTTCTTTGGCACCACTTTGTTAGTTTCATATCGATTTCTGCCATCGTACACAACCATTTGTATGTCAAAGTCTCAATGAATTATGACTATATAGATCATAACAAATTCATAAATTCTGAGCACATTTTCAGATGAAAATGCCAACATCATCGCTGTATTCCACCTGTAACACATCCGCCTGAGTTGATGTGCTATTCTTATCACCCACATGTGTTGTTCTTACGTGCATGCTCTTGTTCAAAAATAGATGGGAAGGCGACAAACGGGAGCAAGGCGATACGGTATGTTTGGTATAGAAGAAATGCGTCGATAAAAAGGGTTCATGCGATCAAATCACAAAATCCATGAATGTGTCACACATGAATTATACTTATGGTTATCAGTGGCAGGCAATTTGAACACGTTCACCACATACCGCACACTCATACTCTCCAACCAATGAGTTGAAAGTATTTTTCTTCCTTTATATTTATGAGGTTACTCCATTGAATCTCCTTTGCGCCATTTTCGAAATAAATTTATCAAGTTGAACGAGAAAAAAGTTTATTATAGTTATGTCTGTAGGCGAACCAAGGTGCTGATGTGAAATACCTATTTACGGCTCTTGTGCTATTTTGAACTTATTCGAGTATGGTTTTACGTTGAAAAATGTATGAATTGAAAAATCTCAGCAAGTTCACGAATTATGAATCACATAAATCACGACTCGTGATTCACGAGTCGCGTGATAATATGAAACAGAAACCATCCGAATGAATCGTTTCAATTATCTGACTTAAATCCCTTAACCGCATTTTAATTATAATATGAATTGTTCAATTGCAGGTGAGAATTCACAGTTGGATGACTTGTATACAAGATATCGGCAGCGTTTGCGGAAATCCTTATTTGAGTCGGGATTAACAACGGCCTTTGTTGCTTGTATTATCTGTTTATGCGTTCTATTCTCCTATCAGGTAAAAATAGGTCTCATTGTTTTCTTTTCTTTTCTCTCACTTCCCCACAATACACGGTGTACACTGTACACCTCACACACCAACACACAAACCAACAGTCTGAAAACCATGAACCTTACCATTCTATTGAATTTATGTTGCAGTTGGTGTTCGATATACTGCTGACGTTGCTCACTATTATCATAATATGCGGTGTGTTAATAGCACTTCAATTTCCGATTGTGATGTCGTCTCCAATAACGGCGCTTGGTTTTGCCGTTCTGATTACGGTGAGCCTGGGCTCTGTATCGGCAAAAGTCGGCACAACACTTGCTCCATTACCGATTTTCTCACTAATTCTGGTGAGTATGGATGTTGCCTATTGTTTATATCCATAAATCGATCAATTTCAATCAACCACAACATGCATATAGCCGTGTGTTCATGCACCAATTGGGGAATGTCAAAATTTGTTTTGTCTTTTGTTCTTCATTTTAAAAAAATTAAATCAACCAACAGGGGGTGCACACAATGCTACCAGTATCATGGCCTGTTTCAGTGGTTTTAGCTGCTATCCTATCGATAATCCATTTTGGTTTCCGAATCGTGTTGAACAGCGATAATTTTCCCGAATTATTCATTCAAACGGTAAGTAAATCGTAAAATCTCACAATGTGTGATTACGAAATATCGAATCAATTTTCACTATATATGTGTCTATACCTTCTCATGCACAGTTGATAGTTGAGGTGCTATTTCTGGGTACGGCCAGTGTATCTGGCTTGTACTATCGCATTATGTCTGATGCAGCGCACAATCGAACTGTTGATGGCACACGAACTGGCATCCAACAACGAGTCAAACTGGAATGCGAACGTGAACAGCAAGAGCAGCTATTACTGAGTGTCATACCAGCGTACATCGCAGCTGAGGTTAGTGTAACACTCCTATTTCTATTTCAGCGTTTTGTGCCTTATGATGATTTTTTTTTTTTGCAATGTAATTGAATTTTTTCCCTCTCTCTTATATTCGTTTGACAACACGAATTTCCCAGGTGAAACGTAGTATTATGTTGAAAATGGCGGATGCATGTCAGCGAGCAGGTGGCCAACAAACGCGTTTTCACGAAATGCACGTACAACGTCACAACAACGTTACAATATTATATGCAGATATCGTGAATTTTACACCATTATCAGAGCAACTTACTGCCAGCGATTTAGTAAAAACGCTCAACGAACTTTTCGGCCGTTTCGATCAAATTGCACAGGTGAGGCTCTCGCACATTGATTCAAATGCGAAAAAAGCAACAAAAACATATACATAACGAAAACGAGAAATGTGAAGCGGGTGGATTTCATTGAAAAAAATTCATTTATTTATGACAGGAAAATCAATGCTTGCGCATCAAAATTCTTGGTGATTGTTACTATTGTGTGAGTGGTTTGCCAATATCTCGGCCCCAGCATGCTGCAAACTGCGTTAACATGGGCCTTCAAATGATTGAAGCAATAAGGTGAGCTCACTAATATACGCTACAGGAAATTGTAATGGAATACATTTCGCTGACACAGCGTGCAAAAAAAAAATAACACCCACCTAATTTAATTATCATCACAACGCGCGAGATAATTTTCAAACAGCGGCAAATTTGAGATGTGACAGACAGTAAAAGTTTTTGCGTGAAAAAAAGAACACCGCCAGATGAATAAGCAACCTGGGAAATAGGAGTGAATAATTGAAAAGCAGCCGGATACGTGCACAATTCACACTAAAACTTTTCATAGTTAAAATCTTTTAAAAGCTTTCTCTGCCATGAAACTTGGTAATATGATTACTTTGTATGTGGTCTCTTCATGCGAATACGTAACACCTGAAATCCTAACGTTTATTTTTGTTTTGGTTTTTTCCGGCGTTATTCCATTTATTCACTATTCGTTGTCATTCAAATTGTGAACTCCCATTCGCACTTTTCCACACACACACACACACGATCTAATTGGTTTCTAACTAGAACAAACAGATGAACAGATGGATTGTTTGCATTTTTGGATTACCTATTTTCGTCTCGTTCGATGCAAACACAATTGATTCTTAATGACAAATAAACAAAACAGAAGGAAAACCACATCATCGCTCTATCCGACATTCGCTCTCAAATATTTACACTCCATTTATTTGCTGTGTGTGTGCATTGGAACTCTTTCAATTCGAATATCATTTTGTATGGCAACGGCATCAACGATCAACACATTTTGTTTGAAAGTTTTTTTTTTTCAGACTTTGTTTTTCACACGGGATTTCTCTTTCTCTAAGCCGCTTAGCAAAAGCAATCAACCTAATGAAAAAAAAAAAAAAATGAATGGACGTGGAAGATAAAGGATTTCAAGAAAATTGCGGTAATTTTTTTCAAACGAAGCGGGTGCAGGAATCACCGATGTTGAGAATTTTTGCCTGAAAAATTATGTATGACAGGCATTGGCATTGAAATATCTGTCATGAATCGCGGCTTGTGATTTAAAAAAAAAAATCAAACAATGTCATATGCAGAATTCATCACCCTCCGTGCTGTGCGTTCATGCACTCTCGAAGCGCATTATGTTATACAATTCAATTCTCTATCACTATCATTCACCGCACCATTTCATTCATTTTTAAATAGTGAGCCACACAACACTACAGTATCACAACGAAAATACTCTGATCAAAAGAAATTATTTGCTACAGCAAAAAGACCTGCAAATGCTCATTGTTCTTCATTTTCTCCCACACAAAATTAATGTTTGATGTTCATTTAGGTCGCATTTTGCAATGATTGTAATATGATATCATTTGTATGTGTTTTTCATCTGGACGGGTTTTTCGTTGTTATTTGAATAGATGTGTACGTGAAGCGACCGGATTTAATGTTGATATGCGGATTGGTATTCATACAGGAAACGTGCTGTGTGGTGTCCTCGGCTTACGCAAATGGCAATTTGATGTAAGACACAGTTTTTTTTTTACTGCATTTTCCTCGCTCATATTTTTCCACACTAAAATGGTGAAATAACTTTATTTGAAAAATGGAAACGGTATTCATGTATCCTTTTCGAAATATGTACAGGTGTGGTCAGATGATGTAACATTGGCTAACCATATGGAATCTGGTGGTGTTGCAGGGTAAATATCCTAGAATGTTTTTATCACATTTTTCGCACATATTCATTATTTCCAATTTTTTTATTTTGTCTTTGTTCGCACCTCCTGATACAATTTTTGTTCGGCCTTTCATCGAGCCAAAATAGACAGACATGAAAAAAAGACCAAAGAACCTTTATTGGGTTTATGACCCAATGTTTTATCTCATAAGATCGAGATTTCAGTTAAAATGGTATTTTTTTTTTCTCCAGCTCTACCTCTTATCATGTGGATTATATCAGTAGCACCTTATCGTCGAAGCCAAAGAAAAAACACAATTCGATTGAAGCCTGTGGAATTCCTTCGTCTGTACGATACAGTGTTATACGTGTATCTTATTTCTTTGATTTATGTTTGCTAAACCAAAGCGCTTCTTATCCTATCTCATAGACATTGGAAAATTCATTAGAAAGTCTCTACCGCAAGCATCGGATGAAATCGATATGAAATAAACCGAGAAGACTATGGAAGAGCAATTTAGTATTTTGTCTTTTGATAATAACGGATTGAACAATGTAACTTTTACTGTATATCTATGAAATGAAAAACAAACGTCAATACGTTCCAACGTCACTGAACTGTAAACACTTCATTTTGACGTCGTTTTTATTATTTCGCATGTTGTATTTTCATTTATGTCGGTATTTATAATGATCTAATCGAATTTCCACATCGACATTTGCAAAGTCTTCGTCGTTGTCATTTCAAGCTCGTTTTCCCCATTGCAATGCTCAACAATCAACAGTTGAGAGCATTGAATATATTGGATTCCATTTCAATTCACTTGAGCATTCTATATACCAATCAAGAGTCAGTGAATCGAACTGTTGTGGTTTGCACGAAAGCTTACTCTGTGTGGCACATGAACACGGTTTGTTTGTGTGCGCGGTGGAACGCACTGTACTACAACTGATAAAAAAAATGTCTTGAAATTAAATTGCGAATTCTATTTAACCAGTCATTTCTATTCAGTGTCTCGAGGTACTTTATGCGCGTTGCGCGCAAAATGAATGCAATCGCAATTTGTTGGCAGCTGTTATGAATTTATTTTAGTCTTTTTCGCTCTCCCGCAATGAAAACATTAAACTAAATGTTGTGCCATTTTCGTTTTAATTTACTGTTTGCTTTCGTTTATTTCAAAGACGTGTCCACATAACGAAAGCGACACTCGATTATCTTGGTGATAAATTCGACGTCGAACCGGGTGGCGGAGCATCGCGTGAATCATACCTGGCAGATCATAAAGTGGAAACATTTCTCATTGTGCCACCAAAGGTAAGTCTGTCTCTGTCTCTGTCTCTGTCTCTGAATTTTAGTTGGCTTCATAAAAAACATTTGACAGCTTTCAACGGAATAAATTCCATTTTGAGCTAGGTTATATAAATATCGTATATTTAAGTATTTCCCCACGTCAGATATCGTTATATTCAGTAAAAGTAATATATCGCTGATGATTAGATGTTTCAATGCTTTTAAGCCACCGGTCCACAAACAAGCATCTGAAAGCCAATTATTTTGCTATACTTTCTATTATGTAGTTGAGAACAAATAGCAAACATTTTCAGTGCTCACTTTTATGTATCTTGACCAGTGTTGCTAACAAAGTATGGATCATAGACAAAAATCATCGTTCAAACAAGGAACATACAATTTTATGAGCACGATGTGCAAATGCAACGTTTTATACCATTTTCCAAGTATTTTATTGACTCCACAGAAACTTCGCATCAACTGTCTATAAACATTTATGAGATTACTGCGTTCGGAAGTCAAACTTTAGAACAGAATTCCCGGTGGATGAAGCCGAATTCACTCCAACTTAATGCATACAACTTATTATTGAATAAATTGTTAAATGTTTCAACTGAAAACTCTAATTTTGTTGCTCAACTGGTCAACACCATGCACGCATGCTGAAAAATTCGAGATGTTTTCGATGTTTCGTTGAAGTTTTCATAAGTTTGAATCAAATGAAATTGATGTGTGTTGCTTCCGTTGGCAGAGCAACTATGCGGAAAGGGTGAAGGACTCAATGGATGACCTCTTTTGCATTCTTTCCGAAATTGTTCAAGCTTCAAAATTATTCGTGAGCTCACGTGTTGAATAAACCACAATGCAAAATTAAAGCTTGTACAATAAATCAGCGATAAATAAGTCGTGGGATTAAATGCAAATTCTTCTAGAGACGGCTTTAAATCACGAACCAATTTTCGAATATCACAAACTTTCTCAACATAAATTGTTCTTTTTTTCATTTTTCTTCATCTTCTGCCTAATCCCATGACTTTGCATTTGAAAAACCAAATTTGCATTTATTTCTGCGCGAGAATTTTGCTCTTAAACTTTTTCTTCTGCAACTGAAAGTCATAATACAGCACTGATAAACATCAGCGTCCAGCTGTACTTATCAGTGATGATGATGACTCATCACTTTGAGTTCCTTTAAGAAGCTTTTTCAAGTCATAAGTCCATCTGCAGGCGTTTTATTCATTGTGATGCAGTGTCAAAACAAATGGCGTTTGTTTCTACGGAGCATTAAGGTGATTTAGACGTTGGATTTTCTTGCTCTCTCTCTCACTCTCTTTCTTTCTTTCTTGACTTTTCTGCAAGTGAAATGTGAATTAAAAAGCTTTTGTTCGCTATGAGCAGAAGAAAATTAAATGTGTTAAATAATTAACAGAATCTCGGCGCAGATCTTATGACTTGAACAAAGTGCAGCCACTTAAATTCTCTTTTGATGCGAAAATTTAAAACGACGGAATGATTTTTTAATTAAATTTCTTTTGAGGAAATGTGCACAGAGAGTGAAGCTATACGAATGAACAGAAAACAGCGTAAATTCCAAGGAAATTATTCGAAATTCCATAACAAGTAAAATTGCTTTGTCATCAATATTATTGTGAAGGGCGAATATGAAATTGAATCATGAAAACTTATGGAAGTCTTTTTTTCAATTCATTATCCGTTCGAGAGGCAACGAATTTTTTGATGAATGCAAACTTCGGCGTCATTATTTCGTAGATTCGCCATCGTTTCCGCTGAACTGTTGTCAAATACTTTTTATTGTTTTTCTTTCTCTTTATTCCATTTGTGTAGAGAATTTCAGTATTCAGAACATAGCAACGACGTGAATGGGCAATTATTGTTTAAAAAAATCTTGTAATTACCCTGATGCTTCATTTAGATATTTTAATTAAATCTGAATGTTTTCATCAAACACCCAACAATTTACCCGATTATTTGATGAAAATTACAATCATTCAACAAAGCTATACTAAACAGCACACTTTATTTACATTGAAAGATTATATAAATCCAAACAATATATCTACGGCTCAGAAATGATGCCAATTAAATGCAATCGCTTTTCAAACAGTGTGCTTGTGTTCCTGGAACATTGTTTCAAGGAATCCAAATGTTTGTGTTCATCAAATTATGTATTTCCATACGGAATTATTACGCAATATTTTGAGCAAAGTATGAAGGAATTAACATTTTCATGAATACTATACAAAACCAACAACTAGATTTTCTGACATATTTATATGAATGATATGTTGGAAGTTTATAGTTTCTGACAAAATATTTGCTATTAGAAAAAGTTTTGGATCTGCAATAAAAGGTTGCACACCTTTTGCTCAACCACTTTTTCCTGCTGGCCGTATGGAAAATATTCGGTTTTGTCACCCGACGAAAAAATGATATAAATTGGATTTTGCTCCGGCAAATAACTGAGATCAAACGATATAGAGCGAACGAAACGAATTTCGAGTCAAATTCGGGGAGGAAAGAATACGGAATTGTTGCGTCAAACTAACGAATGTTTGAGTTTGTTGGTTAAGTTTTTTTTTACACCGATCTAAGCGTTAATGCCAACTGACGTCAATTCGGTGTGCTGCTATAAGAAGCGAATAAAGTAAGTGGAGCACATATGGAGTGAAAACTGGAGTGAAAGTAATGTTACATAGGGCACATTTACGACATGTTTTTGTTTGAAACAAAAACGAGTGTAACCAATTGTTAGTTCAACTCTCATGCAATTTCATATACCGATTGTATTTTGCTCTGCTCATTTTATTCATATTTTATGTAAATATTTCCAATCTGATTTGAAATTTAAATCAAATACATTTGCCGCAACTAACCACAAGTTATTCATTTCAAATGGATTTCAATAGAAAACAACAACATTCGATATTCCAACTCCGAATCCAACGAAACCAGATAATCTAGCGGTAAATAAAATTTGTATCTCAGAGCCGGATGATTCAAATCCACGAACACCACTTACACCCGAAACGATGGACCGTACACCAGTCGACGAAAAGATGAACAAAAACCAATTGACACCGACAATTACCGAAGAGACTGAACAGGATGATCAATCAGTAAGCTGTAAATCATCACTTTCGCTCCCAGTTGAACCACCTGTTGGACCAGTGGAGCGTGATAGACGTAAATTATCTGTTCAAGGCTTAATGGCATTTGCCGAACGACGTCGATCGTCAAGCACATTTGCTGATATGCGAAAAATGTCCGTTTCCAATGGGGACAGCATACACATTCGATCGCCAGGTGGATATGAAAAACTTTACAAAAAGTGGTTAGCTCCGTAAATTTATCGGAATATTTTTGTTTTTGTATTTATATAGCAACGCCGGGCGGACCACCAATTCGCAATAGACCGTCGTCAAAAATGACAAAGTATGTAGAGTGTTGGGGAGCTGATAAACCGTTTGCCAATATTACTGATTCCAAAATGGCAAAGAATATCGGATTGGCTGTAAGGCATTTGGAATATGTTGAAATAACGCTCGAGCTCGTTTGCTGAAATTATTGATTTTTTTTCTCTCTTTTCTTTCGTAGAGCATTGCAATGATTGAGTCAAATCTATTACCACCGGAGCGACGTTGCTCGGATTTCAACTGCTTTGGTCCACCGTCTGAGCTGCAACCAGTCACAATGTGGTATCGGAACAGTGACCGCGAAGCGATGTTCCGTGAGCAACCGGACCCACATTTTCGTTACGATTTAGTTTGTGTGTTTGTTATGTTCTTATCATTAGGATTGCTTCAGTTAATCGTTATTCAAGGGTAAATACGCAAACTATTATTTTCTAACATTTTTCCAAACGTGATTACATCTCAAAATCGTGCATAATTTTCGCAGGAATATCAGCATGTTTGGATCGATTGGAGCTACTGCACTGACATTGGGTTTATTTTTATATTTAAGTCATTTGCAAACATCCGAATCATCTCAGCTTGGTCGCAGTGCACCCGGTCAAGTCATAGCTAATAGTCGTCTCATTCGATTGGCCATATTTTTAATATCGAATACGCTTATTGCAACTTGTGCGGTTTTTAGTGTGGTAACTTAATTCGAAGCACCTTTCTTTGAAATGGAAATCGGTTTTCAATTTTCATAAACATTCATATTGCAGATAAATTTCGAAGAGATTATAATAATGCCATCATTCAATGCAAGCAGTTTAAATGTGACAGACATTAATATAACCGAATCATTTAACATAACGGAGATTGACATTCAATATACTCAATCGGTGGAAACGGCTCCAATGTATTTGTTCTGCTGTGCATTGAGTTTGGCGGCCATTTCAGCATTTTTACGTGCTGGTTTTGTGCTAAAATTTATAGCAATGCTTTGCTGCATCGCTGTCCAAGGTTGTATTTTAAAATTTAGCAAATTGTATGCTTTTTATGACCACGACCGAAACAGGTTCGAATCTTTTTTTCCTCAATTTATCTTGGTGTTTGGCTATGTTGATTTTAACGGTGTGGAAATTTATCATTTCATATTTTACAGCAGTCATTTTGGGTTGACAACGACGGGCGTATTTTTTCTCATGCTAATCGCCATCGTTTTACATATTTTGGATCGGCAGGGTGATTTTGTGGCTCGCACCGATTTCCTATGGAAAGCCAAACTGAAAACAGAACAAGAAGAAGTCGAAACAATGAGAGGCATAAATAAGGTTGGCCATTTCTTTTTCAATATAAAGTTTAAACATGAAGATGCTGTGTGGGTGTTTGTATATGGTGGCTATGGTTGATGGTCCAATTTATGCACCCGCCTAGTCCACCGTGAAAAATGAGTTTAATTTTATTCAATTTTATTCATTTTGCTCTCTTAATATTTTCCATATTGAATCAACTTGGTTATTGTCTTTTATACTGTGTTGCCGTTGGTTTAAACGTACGATTGCTACCCCCTCTCTCTCTCTCTATCTCTCTCCCTTTTTTCTGCTCTTCGCACAGATATTACTGGAAAATATATTACCAGCTCATGTAGCCCAGCATTTCTTGAGGAAAGATCGTTTGAATGACCTGTATCATGAGCGGTACTCGTGTGTTGCGGTGATGTTTGCTTCAATACCCAATTACAAGGAATTCTATGATGAAACCGATGTTAATAAACAAGGGTTGGAATGTTTGCGGCTGCTTAATGAAATTATTTGTGACTTTGATAAGGTAGGTTTCGACAAAATCTTGTTCGTCTCCCACTCTTGTCACCCAAAAATTGAATCAATGACCTTTTATATACATTTGTACATACAATATGTACATGTAGCTAGAATTTATAACGATTCTGCTTCACTAAATATCTGCTTTGAATCATATCTACGACAATGCGAGTAGATTTTCACGTTCTGCTCCGCAAAATTTAATGCGACAGTTGAAATGTGTTTATTTAATGTATCCACACACACACACACACACACACACAAACACAAACTCACACACACATTTGCTTTTCAATGACTTTAGCTGCTGTTGAAACCGAAATTCAGTGGAATTGAGAAAATTAAAACGATTGGTAGCACCTACATGACAGCGTCTGGATTACGGCCCGGAAAAGAGGAAGGAGCAACGGTGAGTATTTTACATAGCTTTTTTCCATTTATTGTTGTGATTTGTGACAAATGGTGAAATGGTGATAGAGACCACTAACCGTTGTAACCATTTTTTTCATCCATTTTCATTCTGCTTCCCATTCGCTTATTTTGTGCGTAACCAAAGATTAACAATGAAGCGGTAAGTGTTGGATGATTGACTTTCTTCTTTTTTTCAAATTGAATTTATTAAGATGGAATTAATTTTATTGTACGGAATTAATGGGAGTTTTATTTTTCACCACAAAATAACATTTTCTTGATGCTTCAAAATGGTATTTAATCTATATTTAAAGAGCAAAACAAAATAACGTAACGCTTCCCCGTTGGCAATAGCGCTGTGCTATTCATATCCATTTCACAAACATATATATCCACAGAGCAAAGATTTAAATTTTAATTTGAACATGAAAGCTTTTTAGTCGATCATTTTGAAACTCAATGCTTCCGTCTCTAACACGGCATGAATTCATCTTTGCTAAGCGTTGCAATATCATACAAGTGATAAAATACTTTGAGCATTGAATTATGTGAAACGAAAATGTATTCTTCTTATTTTTCTTCTCCTTATTTATTCAATTCGCTGACACAATAAGCAGCTACAAAGCCATGCGTAAGAACTCCTTAGTATAACTAAGCCATTCAACTCGTCCGCTTGCAATATACGACTTTCAAACTTTAAACACACTGTTGTTGTTTGTTAGAAAGGGGAAAGTCATACGTTTCCGCTTATGAGATTAACTTTCTTTTGCTTGACTTTGCATATGGAATCCCTTTCTCCACTTGGCACACAGCGTACATGTGCTGAATGTTCGTGTATTTTGTTCCACCTCTGGGGTAAATTGTTTTCCCCGCTAATTCATCTCTTCCTAATAAGGCATGAAACAAACGCGTAAAGTTAGTTCGAGTACAGGAAACTTTAATCAAAACTTCTTCGGATATCGCAAACACAATCAAATTGCTATTTTTGTACATTCCACGAAAAAAAAAATTGGCCCAGTTTCGGTGAAAACGATATATCTACGAATGCTGCAAACGAATATGACAATAATAAAGAATCCAAATAGCTGATTTCCACACAACTCTCAGGCCAAATCAGAAAAAAGTTGCTGTTTTTAGATCATTTTATAGCGTTTATGCAAATAAAAATCAATGTTTTTGAAAGAATTGAGTCCCTTTCTTGTGGACTTGTTGTGTCTCAGCTGGAAATGCTCAACCTCACATATCACTGATTCAAAGCGTTATTTTGATTTTACTTTCGTTTTCAGCACGGTAGCAATATTAAGACATACCTTTGAAAACACGGTAATTTTGCACAAAAGTGCGTCTCTCTCTCATCACACATTCCACTCGGAATCGTTTGAATAGCTTTTGTCGAACTGTTGGATGCCTTGATACGAGTCTGTCGCAATTGCGTTGAATTTATGTCAGCAATTTTTTCTTGTTCCTTTTTTGATTTTTATTGGCGTTCGCATTTCCTGTTACATATGTGCCTGTCGTTTAAAATGTATTAACGTAACTCACTCACGTCAGAATCACGTTGAAAAGAAAGTACACAGTAGATTTCATTGAAAATGACAAAGAAAAAAAAATGCGAAATCCAATATAAATAAATGCACAAAAGAAAAACCAATAAACGTACTGATTCAGATTTGACTGTCTTGCCACAAACTGATCATTCCATTGTTTGCGATTTGAGTAGGAATTCGCTGTGTGTAGGCTTCACCTGTTTGCTGGGAATGAATTGAACGGGAAGGCAAATGGATGGATAAAAAAAGAAGCTCATTTCTTTGTTGCGGTGTATCGAAAGGTTAAATTCCGTCGGAATGGAATCATATGCATTGATTTCAATGCGAACATTTTTTTTTGAGTCAGAAAAAAGTCACTTGATTGAATCCATATGAATCATCGGGCCTAAATATGAATGGAAACGGAGATAGATAGACGGTGTCGTTTTCATTCATCTGAAGCTACCGTAATACGTTGATGATTTGAATATTATGGAAGTTTCATGAATAAAATATACACGTCAATAATAATTCGTTCCTACACATATACATGCAAATGGGAATGATAAAATACACTACTAAAGAGTTTGGTATCTGTATTCAGATGTCATTCCTTTGGTAGACACTCACCCTCGTGCGTTTACGATGTTTTTTTCCCTGAAACACGTGCGAAACATTGTCGAATATTAAACGTTTGCCGTGATTCAACCTCACAGCAACCGGTAGTTCGTTCAATCAAACGACTCAGTGGATCGTGTGAATATATTCACTGACTTGTTCCCTCTTTCGTATATCACCACATTCTTTTTTTGCTCCGGTAGCTTTCAATGATGGTTTTATTTAACCATTTTATGAGTGTATATTGATTTTACAATACTGAGTGTACACTGTACATATTTACATGCAAATTGTAAATTGACTTATTACATATCATATTCATTGGGTATATTTAGAGCGGAAATATATATGCGTTTGGTTTCATGGTGAAAAATATGTCCAGAATATCAGTTCAATCTCTTCACTCGATCGATTTTCGAATAAATCATCCAGTTGAAATCATCAAAAACTCTGCGTTGTTTAATAGACTACAAGTTGTGACTCACAACTGAACTATGTGAATTTATTAAAGTTTTCATTAAAGAATTTCCGTGTACGAACATGCACCGATGTTGATAAGTAATTGAAAACCACATTTCTATCATTAAGTGAAGCGTTTCCTCAATGTTCTTCTGCTTTAAATTTGTGTCTCCCAATTTTGAATTTTCAATGGCAAAAGTTTTATTTTTGTGTGTGTAATATATTAAATTGCAAAAAAAATATCCCGACGAACTCATTTCTTTTTTAGCTTTCAATTCTGAGACAGAATTTATGGATCATGCTGTCAATTGTTCCATTCACTATTGTTTGAAAAACCTTTTTTTTGCAGCGGTGCTTATTTATGCTGAGCATACTCTTGGTTGCATGGGTGTTGAATGTCATTCAACGCCACTAAGCTGTAGACATCTCTCTCCGGCTATACGGCAAACAACAGAACCAACACTGAACATGAAAATGACATGTTGAATTGTGTTTGTTTCCTTAGTTTCAACTGTGCCGCTACGAGAGGTCTCTTTTGTCGTTTCTTGTTGTTATTTTACATGTAAAATCAATGGTATTAGACGAGGATGCTTGGTTGACAATCCATTGTCAATTCATAATGCTTTGAACTTCCGGAATTATTCTCACATTAACGACAATGTGTCGAAAATCGATAAAATTCTTCTGCCACTATTGCTAACAACCATCGGCATTCCGGTGCAAATTGTTCGAAAAGATTGTTCTTTGATGTTTGTTCTTTGCATTTTTCTCTCTCCCTCTCGTATTTCCACCCCCCCCCCCCACCTCCCATAAATACTTAATGCAATGAAAACAAGCTTTGACTTTGTAATGGAATTTATTGATTTTGTTCGCAACGTTCTTGCTACGATGTGTTTTTCTTTCTTCTTTTTCATGGTAACAGGATGAACGCCGCACTGAAGAGCACAATGTAACCGTCGTTGTGGAATTTGCGCTCGCTTTGATGTCCGTACTCGATCAAATCAATCGTGAGAGTTTTCAACGCTTTCGATTGCGCATCGGTTTAAATCATGGTCCGGTGATTGCTGGCGTTATTGGCGCTCAAAAACCGCAATACGATATTTGGAGTAAATAAAAACACTTTTTTTTATACAATCAACTCAATTTCTCATGTAAAATTCATTTGGTTTAGGTAATACAGTGAACGTTGCATCACGTATGGATTCGTGCGGTGTCATGGGCCGAATGCAGGTACGTTATCCCAGTTCTAAATCGAATCATTTCGCACAGTGTCTATTGTTTTCAATGCACGTTTTTCAGAATTATTTTGAATTGAGTTAGATTACGGAATGTTATTTTCCATTCTATGAGGCATTGAATATTAGTATTTTCCTTTTTATGAGCGCATTGTTTTCTTTAAACAATTTTAACTCGATAAAATCAACAATACAAAGAATTATATCTTAATTTTGTGCAAATTCCTTTCAAATTCATTCGAAAATATACTTTTTTGTTGCTCAAAAACTTCGAGATAGAAAGCGTAAATCCAAATAAAATAAATAAATCCAACAACTTCGAACAATTTAGAATGAAATTCGAAGCAAACATTTCTTGGATCGAAGCATAAGTTAGAAAAATAAGAGTATCGTCTCTCTTCTAAGCAATGAGCTCGTTGAATACCAAATTTACAATCCTCAATGACGAAATTGATCATTTGCTGGAATTCAAGTAATTTCATTATTAATTTTTAAAATTCATATTATCCATTTGTTCACCAGGCAACTGAAATTACTGCAAAAGTCCTTATGGCAGCTGGTTACATTTGCGAATCTCGCGGTCCAATCTATGTGAAGGGCAAAGGCACATTAACCACATATTTTGTGAAAACACCATTTGACGATAAATTATAAACGGAGTAGTATCCATTTTGACTTTTTAACTCATTTTAATGTAAAATTCATATATTTCAACATATAAAAAAAGGGACTATATTTAAAAAAATTTAAACATGTCAAACATATTTGCTGACAAATCAAATGATGCTTACATCTAAAACTTGTGACAATTCTAGTTTGAGTGAAATAAAATTATTTAAAATATATATTTTGTACATAAATCCATACATTTGATCAATATCAAGTAAATTATTTATTGAATGACATTAGCATATTCCCGTTTTCAATTATTTTTCGAGTGAATTACATTTAAACTTTTATTTAAGACATATTTTGATTATAAATGCGGGTAGAATCAATTGAATGAGCTCACAAAATGGATAAAACATAATAAATGTGTAGATTCAAACTCAGTCTATCTGTTTAGCATAGAAGTATTTATATGGTTTTAATTGTTTTATTGATAGAAAAGAAAGTCATACAAATTTCATCACATTCGAGCTAAAAATAAATCTTATTGAGCAAATAACTGTTCTACTCATAGATAAATGTTTTATTGAAAATGCCAAAAACTAAGAAATGATCCAATCAATAAAAATAATTTATGAATGTAAATAATGAGTTTTTTTTTCTATCTATAATCGTTTGGATATTAATAACTGCTATAAATATTTCCACTTTTATTCACAGTGTAAAAATACAATCGTTTGGAAATCTATTCGAATCATACACCGAAGTCAAGTATTTTTTCAGTTTATAAGAGATTTAAACTAAACTGGGCGAAATTCAACCTCCATCTTGACACCCTTCAAATGTATATCCCCCATTTAGTAGAGCTTCTGAGCTTTGGAAAAGCTATGAAGCTTTTCATTGTATAATGAAACTACATCGGGCAGCAGAACAACTGGATTTTGTCATTGCTAATAAGTTTCCTTTTTTATGAAAAAAAAAAAAAACCTTTTACCACATTTTTCCAATTCATTGGATCTATTCAAACATTTAGCACACATTGCATAATAAACATACTGCAGTTCAAAATTGTGTGACTTTTTTTTTATCTTTCAAGCTCTTCTAAGCTACCACAACATTGCAAAAAATGTGATGTTATTCTGAAACATCTGCATCAAATATCCTGAAATGTTTACACAGTTTTGTTATAACGACATTTGCGCAAAAAAAAAAAAAATCGAAAATTCTAAATTAAAATTCGATAACATCCGACCTTGCCCCTGGCGATGGCATATTGAAATGCACGAAAATGAAAAGTTAAAATGCAAATTTTCGAATATACACAACACGTTGTGTGGTCAGTATATAAATAACGGCTATAACTTGACCAAATTGAAGCCGATCCGAAAGTTCTTTAGAAGCATCTACTCTTGAATGCCTTTAAAACTGCATTTAAACTTTTTTAAATCGAACGGCTGGGAAAAAAAGTTACAATACATACACGGACTCGAAGTGTCTGCGTGAGTGGCTACACGGTCGTTTGTACACTTGTGTTTTGACTATATATCCGATTCTCAATCATCGCCACAGGTGTCGTGTCAGTAGAGCTCGTCGTTTGTTTACATTGAAAATACTTGTTATTTTTGCTATTATTGTTGTCGTTTCATACCTGTATTTTTGAATCTACGTCACGAAAAATATACAATTTGTATATTTTTCCAATTGTGTATTCACAATAATTCAATAACAAGTGTAATTTCGATTAAATGTAACCAATTTGAAAACCACATAACCAATCCCATTGGTCTTCACTACTGAATTTTGTAACGTCATCTACGACAATTTAATATAAAATCAAGCAAGCTCAACAAATTACGATTGATTTATTTTCATTTGTGATAAATTGCTTGAAAATCATTGAGCTGTTGAGAGTTAGTGCCAAACTTTATCGCTGTGTTTGTAAAAAACGAACTTGTAAATTTCATCTGTATTTTTACAGCTCTTCACTAAATTCTGTTAACCGCTTAATTTTCATATTCAAAATATGTCTTCCAGCTCAAAAAGTTTAAATTTACAATAAACAACACTGTCCGAACGACATAGAAAACACTCAACAAATTTAAGTGGAAATTGGCAATAATAACATGAGAGGCAATACTAATTGCGACCGCTTTCATACCTGAGAAGTGCCTGTGCCACAATGTAATTGAGAACAAACATTTTGTATCAATTTGAAAGTAATATCTTAATTGCATCGCATTCAACTACACACTAAACTGATTCTTCTTTTGCCATCGATACGGATTGATTTGACAGTGGTTATCGAGCTGTCATCGAATCAACACGTTAAGATTGCGAAATCCTCATTGAATTTCATTCAATTTTCCAACAACTAGTTTCCCTTGGAATATTTTTTTTCTTGAAATGGTAAGCGTGAACTGAACTCAGAATAACACATTCAAAACTAATATTTATAATGAGATTTTCTATGGAAAAAAAGGTTTAATTTTGAAGTATCGTCTATGACTTACGTTTGCTAAGACTAGTGCTGACAATTTTTCAACAATTTGTCAGTCACTCCTAGATTATTACGCAAAGTGACATTAAAGTTTTTTCAAATTCATCGATAATGAACCTCTTCTCAGCTTTGACGTGCCCTGCTCTTACGCATAAAGTAGTAAACAACATTCGCTTGAATATAAATAATCTGAACAGATCAAGCGTTGAAAGTAGTTTTTGTTTAGCCGTTGCGTAGAGAAGCTGTGGACAACGAAAATTTTGTTGAACGAAAAAGTGAATATGAATTATTTAGGCCGTGCATTTTGGCTATCATTCATTGGATTTGCCTGTAGTGTGAGTTGTCAATTTTGTACAAAGAGTTAATTCCATGCTCTTGTTCATGGTTCGTTACTGATAACGATTAACTGATGTGTTTATATTGTGAAAGTGTAAAATATTATATAATCGCTTTGGACTTCGCTTGACTTCTGTTTGGACTGGTTTTATTATCTACTCAGTTTGAAAAAAAAAAACAGTAGAAACATTTATGGCATTTACTGAATAAAGCAGAAGTGTCAGATTTTACTTTATTTTGGTTGAATTTCCGCGCAATCTATCGTTTTTTGAAGTATACAAGTACAATAATGCTCAGTCATGTCTACCGAGTAAGGTTCGATGTTTCTAGAGTCGGCATTTATTGAATTGACTATTTAATTTTATTGTTTTGAATTGATATTGTAAAAATTATTCTGTTTTGAAAATGATTTGAAATGATTCGATATTGATGGTCTTTGAAATTTCAGTCGCAGGTCAAAATTGAGCAATTGCCTTCACCTCGTTCACTGTGCGGCGAAGGACCACATTGGGACGTTGCGACTCAAAGTTTGTATTACATCGATATTGAAGGACCAGAATCGACAATCCTACGATATGATTACAAGGAAAACAAAACCTATCCGGCCACCGTTGACAATGTGCCCTTGATGACATTCGTTCTACCGATTGAAAATTCCACCGATGAATTTCTGGTCGGTTCAGACACCATCGCCAAAGTTATTCGTTGGGATGGAAAGTCATCAAAAGGTCAATATGTTCGAGATGCGTTCGCTGTTGAATCCGGAGACTACTACAGCACCAATCGTTTCAACGATGCCAAATGCGATCCGGTGGGTCGATTCTTTGGCGGCACTCAACGTTACAACGAATGCAAAGGACCATTCAATGTGGCAACCGCATCATTGTATCGCTATGACCGGCAAATTGGCGTGAAACACCTGAAGGGAAATGTGTTTATTTCCAACGGCCTGACATGGGTTGCCAATAAATTTTATTATATCGACTCGTGCGCACATGACCTCAAAGAATTTGACTACAATATTGAAACTGGAGATATATGTATGTTCAACCGGTTTAACGACTTAATTTTTTTATACAAATCAATACATTTATTACAGGCTTTGTTATGCGCTAAATCCATCACGCTGAATAAATTCATGTGATAGATTTATGCGATAAATGTGATGTGCTCGCTTTGTGGTGAACGAAGTCTGTTGCTCTTCAGTACATGAATTTATTCAGCGTGATAGATTTAGCGCATAACAAAGCCTGATTTATTACATATTTGGATAATCACTTATCGCAATTTAAATGTCTTATTGTTTAACGAGCAGCAAATGAGCGCACCATGTTTTTGAACAGAGTAGATGGAAAAACACCAGACTTTGTCCTTGATGGCATGACTAGCGATGTTGAAGGAAACCTCTACATTGCCACCTATAATGGACACAAAGTTTTTAAATTAAATCCAAAGTAAGACGAAGAAACTAGAATTTTCGGACCAAAAGTGGTTATTTTTATAAAAGAGAGAAGTGTTCGTTCATTAACTCATTTATTGCGTTGAATATTTGATGTGATTTTCTATGTCTCGTTTGCAGAACCAGCGAAGTGTTGGCAGAATATGTATTTCCCAATGTAAGCAAAATAACATCAGTTGCTTTTGGTGGGCCAAACTTGGATATACTCTACGCAACAACCGCAACTCGTGGTGACACACAAGATGAAGCTGGCCATTTGTACAAGATTACTGGCCTAGGAACAAAAGGATCGGCTGGAGTCAAAGTCAAATTATAAGATGAAATTATGACATTCCCTAATCGTTTCCTTTTTTCATCAATTCAATTGATACGACTCACAAGATGTTCAATTGCCGTCTTTTCCAGTGATTCGATTGACGGGAATTCTTTGCAATGTTTTCAACAGACAACAATGAAATGAATAAAAATGTATAGCAAATCTTTTGAGTTTATCTTTTGAATTATAATCTTATATATAAAATGAAAGAACGAGGAGAACGGTTGCATTCTTGACAACTTTGATATTTTGATGTACACACACATATAAAAACGTATGGCGGATTGGAAAACGTCAGCAATGAACTAAACTATCACTTGGTGTAGCAAGTTCATTGAATGTGTGAACGGGTGGCAATATTCGTTGACTTCAAAATCATATGAAAAACCACACAAGTGTTGACAGTGCAAACTCACGATTTTTTCGAAATATTTCTTTGGAAAACAAATCGTGGATGAAGCCTAGGCTTTGCAGAGCCCGAATATCAACAATAAAAGAAAATAAATGAATATAATTCCTAAACAAATAATGTATATAAAATGTATGGCATTTCCAATCTCACCACTGTTCACCACAATCAGTCAAAGCATTAATGTGAATTACGCATGACAAAGTGACTTTGACAGCACACGCATATGAATTGTTGTCATGTTTACAGTCGGAAATGTCAATGCAAAATCTCCAGTATCCAGTTTCACTCTACTTTCGAAACCACAACCAAATAGAAGAAAACGCCTTTGTTTATGCTTAGAACTTTCATTGATAAGTTCTCGATAAATTCGCCTGGGCGGCGATACGCTAGTAAAAAAGCAGAGTGAAGCAAATCGTATGTGCAATGTACATTTTGTATAATGAAGTTGCAAAATGCTTTTCTTATGTTCGATTGGCGCAAAATTCGCTTTTGCAAATATTTAAAGTCCGAAATTTATTCCCAACGGTTCAAATGAACTTGAATAAGCACTTCAATGTATTATTCATGCATCAACTCAATCACAATCATGTACGTTCAACAACTCAAGTTTTTCTATCCATTGTGACTGAACTGTTGTCAGTAACAGAAATCCCAGCTCACGAAGACTCAATCCGATATTGCTCATTCGACAAAAATGAAGGGTTTTTTAAATATAATTGTGTTCCTATTGGTTGTTCAATGTTATGACTTTAGTCCAATTGAAAATGAAATCGATGACTATATCAAAATCATAACGGCGTATTTCAAGCAAACCCGTAACGTAAAGGTCTTAACACACATTTCATGCTTTTCACAAAGTAAGTTACACATTCCTATTACTTTCATTTTATCTAATAAGTAAATAACACTCGTAAACCAACAGAACATGAAGATTGAATAATAATAAATTTTTTAGGTGAAAATGCACAAATTTCCTTCGAAATGTCACGGCAAAATGTGCAATCTCGGTTCATAGCTGAATTTGAGAAGACAAAAATGCTCATCGATACGCCAAATAACACCATTCAAGGATTCGTTGTCGATATGAATTGCGACAGATTCGAGGGAATTTTTAATGAAGGCGATCAAGCAATTATATTCCGGGACAACAATTTATGGCTATTCATCGATAATAACATCGACTTGGTGGGCATCGATGCACGGGTTAGTATGGATTTTCAAGAAATATTTTGTCGGTTGCAAACGGTAGAATGTGACAAAAATCATATCAATGCAAACGATCATTTCCACAAATTTCTAAATGATCCGAACTTTTTCAGGCTCAGTACAGATCAAAATTTAATGAATTAAACGCATTGCCACTGAGTGACCTGTTCATTGCAAAACGAATTGTACAGACTCCGATGCAATGGCTACTTTACGATGCATACAAAGTAGATTACGATTATGACATGGTCATTTCACGAAACGGATTGATTGAAGCAACGGCAAATGGTAGAGCGATCGTAAATGAGGCAGACTTTTTTGCAAAGCGAAGGAAAGATTTAAACGGAATTTCTCTTCCTTGCGGTTTGGTGGTAATAAGTGATGTATATTTTTAAGCATTTTCCTCATTTGAGCCAAAACCATTTTCATATTTTTGTTCAAATCTGTTCTAGCTTGCATATCCAGAGAAATTCACATATGTTGACGATCCAGTAACAAATCACATTGACACATTTACCAAGGCCTATGTAAAATTGGGAGAGAATCTTCGCGAAGACTTAAACATGAGGCATTTTTAAATTACTGATCGTTCATACTTTTCGTTGATAACTAATTGAGATATTTTTTCAGTTGTCAAATTTTGCAAGTCGATAGCTATGGTTGGCTAACCAATGGAACATTCAATGGAATTATGGGATTGTTTCAAAGGAAACAAATCAGAATGTCTTCACATGGAATTAAGTATAAAATTCCACTTCACACAATGCACAATAGGGTGTTTTCGGTATTAAATAAACAGAAAATGGTAGTTTTAGTTTGATAGAGCAGAGAATTTGGAATCGATTTCATATATTTTTGTTCGGAATCAGTCCAAGATGCCACTTCCCACAAGCAAAACAAATGTTCGTCGAATTTTGAGGTTATATACTATTCACTGAAACTAATCTGATATTTTCCACTTTTTTCAATGCAAACATTTATTTTCACGTAATTTTCATTGGAATAAGTGGCCGAATAGTCGAAAATTCACACAAATTGTATTTCCTCTTTGACCGGTTCTTCAGTCATAGAAAAAACACCGACAAACTCATTTTTTTCACAGAAATTCATTCAATGAGTTTGAAATAGACGATAAATTATCTAAATGCACTAAAATATCCAATCGAACAAAACCAGGAAGGCCAAATTGCAGCAAAACCAAAACGTAAACAAAATGAGCTGTCATCATGAAATCTGAGCTTCTTTGACATTTTGAAGGGCTACCAATGCACTTGTGCGAATGAATCACAGTCAATTCGCACACAGTGATTCGCGCAGATGTATTTTGGTCTTGTCAAACATCAAACTAAGCCCGAATTTCATAATGACAGCTCGTTTTTGTTTACGTTTTGGTTTTGCTGCAATTTGGCCTTCCTGGTTTTGTTCGATTGGATATTTTAGTGCATTTAGATAATTTGTCGTGTATTTCAAACCCATTGAATGAATTTTTGTGAAAAAAATTAATTTGTCGGCGTTTTTTCTATGATTGAAGAACCGGTCAAAGAGGCAATACAATTTGTGTGAATTTTCGACTATTTGGTCACTTTTTCCAAAGAAAATTACGTGAAAATAAATGTTTGCATTGAGAATTCATCTCTGGTAGTGAGATTGAATCGAAAAAAGTGGAAAATATCAGATTAGTTTCAGCGAATAGTGATATAACCTCAAAATTCGACGAATATTTGTTTTGCTTGTGGGAAGTGGCATCTTGGACTGATTCCGAACAAAAATATATGAAATCGATTCCAAATTCTCTGCTCTATCAAACTAAAACTACCATTTTCTGTTTATTTAATACCAAAAACACCCTAATGCACAATGTTTTTGATTTGTCTCTTTTTCATTTGAATTTCATTAAATGAAACAGTATGCGACCGGAGCGATTGCTGTTTTCCGATTTCACAGGAGACATATTCACACCAAGGTTTGAGACGAATGAAACGACTGATTAAAATGAAGGCATTTTTTCACTGATTTTGTTCAATTTTTTTTTTAGAACACCGTTGATTTTCCGTGAGCCAGCACTAACAACGGTTGCCAATATTTTTGTGTTACCACTTGGATTGGACGTATGGAAGTGTACGTTCATTTTGGTAGTGGTGATAATCATTGTAATGACACTACAGTTGATACATCCGTTGCTCCGATCGTCAGTTACATTATACGATGTTGTGACATTTATTCTGGGTGCATTTTGTCAACAGGGCACTCACTTAAACATACCCACCACATCCGGTCGATTCATTGTTTTGACCACATTTCTAGCCACTTTGGCACTTTTCACATCCTATTCAGCGAGCATTGTGGCACTTTTACAGAGTCCAAGCAATTATATTAAAACTCTTGACGACTTGATTGCATCTCCGATGAAAGTTGGCATTCACGAAGCTGGATACACACATTTTTATGTAAAATCCAACTTTTCGGGAATAACTGAAATTTATAGAAAGAAGATACAGCCACAGGGAGCTGCTGGATGGATTTACGAACCATTTGTTGGCATCGAAAAAGTTCGCACACAACTATTTGCATTCCTATTGGACAGTCAATCCGCTTACAAAGCCATCCAGAAAACATACACCGAATCGGAGAAATGTGGCATAAAGGAAATTCAAATCATCGTATTACCAACATCTACAATTGCCGTCGAAAAGAACAGTGGCTACAAGGAATTGGTTCGACAAAGGTAATCATAGTTCAATTTATATTGCATGTAAAACTTTAGGATTTTAGATAAATATTATCATTGGTTGTCATGTGATTTCATTTTTGAATTGGTTGGATTTTTCTCAGGATAACTTGGCAAAAAGACGTTGGTCTAATGAAACGCGAAGAAATTCGGTGGATCCCAAAGAAACCAGAATGTACAAGTGGCCAAGCGGCATTTATTACAGTTGATTTAAATGTCATTGAGCCGGCAATCATTCTTTTATTGGTTGGCTATGCATTATCGATTGTTATTATACTAGTAGAGCGAGTGCATTATAAATATGCTAATCGATTTCATGGTTATACATTGGTCTCCTGCCATAACCTGATGGGTAGATTCAATCATTAATTGGTTTCAATTATTCAGAATAGAATAATTCATTCTTCACAATATTATTCGCTTAAAATTGCAACTGCACTCACCAAAGCACTGGTAGAGAAAAAAATATATGACAAATGAAAGAATGATAACAGTTTAAGAATGTATTATATGCAGAAATAATTTCAGATTTCCAAGGTAAAAAATAACAAAATTGCTATTAAGGCTCTATTTCCTAGGTGGCCGATTTTCGTCGCCGATTCGAAAGAGCATTCGGAATTTTTGCTACAACTTTTGAGCCACTGAACGGATTTTAACAAATTTTATATTTTTTGAAAGATATAAACTTTATCTTTCTAAAAATACAAAATTTTTAAAAATCCATCAAGTGGTTCGATAAATATATCAAAAATTCTTAAATCGGCGACCGATCTTAGCCGATTTTCAGAATTTTCGCTATATTTATCGAACCACTTGATTTTTAAAAATTTTGTATTTTTAGAAAGATGAAGTTTATATCTTTCAAAAAATATAAAATTTGTTAAAATCCGTTCAGTGGCTCAAAAGTTATAGCAAAAATTCCGAATGCTCTTTCGAATCGGCGACGAAAATCGGCCACCTAGGAAATAGAGCCTTTACTTCAAAATCCAGATGTCGAAAACAACATTTATGTAATCAAATTGCAAAAACAGAATAATTTCCTTGCATTTTTCGCTGTATTTTTCCTTTGAAATAATTCGAAATATTTGATCGATTTAACATAGAATACTATAGAAATATTTGATAAATTATTCATCATTTGATGATTTACCGCTGAGTGATTGCAATTCGACCGATGAAAATATGCAATTCTTGATAGGAAATTGGAGAATCAAAGCGAATATTGTCATATAATTTGTTGAATTTGGAATTTTAGATGGTTATTGATTCTAAATCAAATTCATTTTCCAATTGCTTTCACTTCAATAAATTCAAATTACAACGCCATATGTGTATTATTTGCATAGATTTCGAAACGATTGCACTTTTTATCCAAAGCTTTCAAACATCACAAAAGTGGCCAACATTCAAGGCATATCAGTGTTTTACTTGAGTATTACGACGATGGACACCAAATTCTTCATACTTATTTTGATATGTTTCGCTTTAGATTTGTGTGAACTTCGCCTTTTAGAGACGGAAATCAGTGATTATATCAAAGTCGTATTGGCCTACTATCGTGTTCGCAATGTCGGTATTCTGACACATTTCACATGCTTTTCGCTGAGTGAGTAGAAACAAGTCCAATATTTCAACAGTTTAGACCATTTTAAGAAATTGCCGATAAACGTGTTATTATGCCACGTGTTCAAGATCAAAGTATATATTACAGATCCTCAGACGCATGGACACCGTTTTTTTTTCACTTTAACTTGGTTGAAAGCAATAAAATTTTATTCTAGAAATATCAAACATCCGCTTGCGTATCAAAGTCTTCGAAAGTTGATTGGTTTTCGTGTTTTTTTTTCAACAGGTAGCAATGCAGAAATATCGCATGCATTATCAGAGGCAAATATACAATCACGTTTTATAGGTACTTTTGAAGTAATACCACGACTTATCGACACACCAAATCACACTGTACAAGGGTTCATCCTTGGCAAAAAGTGTGATAATATAAAGACAATCTTCCATAGCGAAGATCATGGTGTCATATTTAAAAATAACAATTTGTGGCTGTTCATCGATTACAACGAAGCAAGCTTGGCAAGTGGCGAATCGATGGTTAGTACGACTGTTGTTGGCTTGAAGTGTATATTGCAAAGCTATAAATTATCAATAAAAACCAATGGTTTCAGGTTGAACACAAATCCAAATTCAATGAATTGAATGCAATGCCTATAAGTGATTTGTTCATCGCGCAGCGATACCATAATAATGATACGATACAATGGAAACTTTTCGATGCATATAAATTGAACTATGGATATGACATTGAAATTACTGAAAATGGTGTAATCGAAGCAATTACAAATATGAATGGTCTGATAGTATCTGCGGCTAATTTCTCATACACACGGCGACAAAATCTTAAAGGAATCAACATTACTTGCGGTTTAGTGGTATTTCTGTAACTTTTGATCTGGTTGAAGTTTTTTCTTTGATGTTTGCTTCTCCCTACTGAAGATGGAATATCCAGAACGATTGACTAGTTTTGATAACCCATCGGACACTCATGTTGATGTCTTTACGAAAGGTTCAATCAATTTGGGAAGAAACCTTCGTGAGAATATGAATTTCAGGTTTTACTTAGCCGAAACATTATGACTTTTAAAAGATATTGTTTGGCGTTTTTTTGTTGCTATAAGAATGATATTTTCAGTTGTCTTATGCATCTGGCGAAAATGGGGTGGTCAGAAAATGATACTTTCGATGGAATAACGAGCTTGTTTCAGAAGAATCAAATCCAAATGACAATGCATGGCGTTATCATGAGATCGGAGCAATTGTTATATGCAGAATTTGCTGGCGACATATTCACGCCAAGGTTTACTTGAATTATTTGACCATTTGATATGTTTATATCAGCCCACTTTGATCCTTCCGAATACTTTTTTCAGAACACCTTTAATATTTCGTCAGCCATCATTATCAACCGTTGCAAATATTTTCGTGTTGCCGCTGGGGATAGACATTTGGATTTGTATTTTTATTCTGATGTTAGTTGTTTTCGTTATCATGATGCTTCAGTTGATGCATCATCCCATTCTGAAGAAAATGTCCATCACCGCATTTGACATTGCGACATTCATTTTGGGAGCGGTGTGTCAACAGGGTACTCACTTACACATACCAACAACTTCCGGCCGTTTTGTCGTATTGACCACATTTTCTGCTACTTTGGCTTTGTTTACATCGTATTCAGCGAGTATTGTTGCACTCTTACAAAGTCCAAGTGATTTTATCAGCAGCCTTGATGATTTGATTGCATCGCCTTTGAAGGTTGGTATGTATGAAGCCGATTATGCACGGTATATGGTGCATGCCAAGTATACAGGCGTAATGGATGTTTATGACAAAAAAGTATTGCCACAAGGTGAAAAAGGGTGGATTGATGATCCATTTGTTGGCATTGAACGAGTTCGAACCGAATTGTTTGCATTTCAAGTGGACAGTCCATCTGCTTATAGGGCAATCAGTGAAACATTTGCCGAGTCGGAGAAATGTGGTATAAAGGAAATTCAAATGATCGTTTTGCCAACAACAACAATACTGGTGGAACGCAATAGCGGCTACAATGAATTGATAAGGCAAAGGTTTCGTATTTGGTATTTATACTTGTTTTACAATGATTGAAAAGAAGTTCTTTATTTACCTAGAATTAAATGGCAAAAGGAAATCGGACTGATGAAGCGAGACGAACTTCGATGGATACCAACGAAACCAGATTGTAAAGGTGGTCTAAGCGGTTTCGTGACAGTTGGCTTGAATGAAATTAAACCAGCTGTCATTTTGATGTTATTTGGATATGGATTATCTTTACTGGTTCTGGGCGTTGAGATTTTATTTCGCAACATGCGATGCAAAAATCAGAAGAAACCAAACACACCATTTTCTTATTGATTTATTATTTATTTCTTTCTTTCTTTTAATACTTGAATGTAGAAAAATATTTATTCATCATAAATTACTTATATTTAGGGCCCTGCTTATATTATATAATATTTTTTTATGAAAAAAATACACATGTTCAATTTTGCTCTAAGAATGTTCCAGTGAAATTTTAATTTTTTCAAAATGAGCAAAAAAAAAATATGGAATTGGATTCAAGCTAACAAAATTGTGTTGTGAATCATTTTTCCAAATTTTGCTAGCCATTTACATATCACGCGATCCACCGCGGGCAAAAATTGACTTCGAATTTGTAGTCAAGTAGTAAATGCTGGCCTCACTGTTTGCAAAAAAAAAAAGAAGAAAAAATGCAATCCATTTTTAGTAAAAGTAACCAAACAAATTAAAATAACTTCAACCTACGCATTGTAATTGCCTGGCTCTCCACCCATGCGCAATCCAACGCCTTTACAATTTCCCTTCTTCATATCCTCGAATGATGCGCATGGATAGGCGTAGAATGAGACGGTCGAGTAAATACTTTCGGCGAAATATTTAAATGCACGTAAGTGTGAGCATGTACCAGTTGGATCCCACAAGCATCCCGTTTGTTTTAAACCATGATTTGGGTAGAAGCTAACCGTTCCGATTGGATAATGCATTCCCAAGAATGCCCCGTTGGTGTGAATGATTTCAACATATCTATTGTTAGGAAAGAAATATACACGATTTTTAAGTGTTAAAGCATTTGTAAGTAGTTTAATAAATGCATCTTACTTTGCATCGAGACGATCCAATCGTTCATTGGGCTTATTCAAGGAGAACAGTGGGCCAGCTGGATCTAAACCGATGATTTTTGGCAATTTTCCGGTTTGCACATGCTTTCCAGCTGTATAGAGAAAACAGTATTTGGTATAAATTCTCGGTAAGTCAATACATATGTTTGGTAGGGTGGATCAATATTATTCTTCATGAACTTGAAATCGGCGATGTGGGCATGCCCAAATCAGAAACTATGCCACAATCATGACCACCAATTTGGAGCTTTTCTAAAAATTTGGAATTGACCTCGAGGTTTCCATTTATAGTGATAAAACGACGGAAAGTGTTCTCACAGCCAAGTTAGTGTGGCGTGTTCAAAAATGTGATTTTTTTTAGACACTGACTTGACCAACTTGACCATATGAAAATGATAAATGACGAACTGAATGTATATTAAAGCATAGCAGTGTAAACTCACCAATTCCAGCAATATGAGCACCCAATGAGAAGCCAATTAAACTTATGTCATTTATGGAGACGAGATCATGGTAAGCCATGTAATCGATCATGGCAGCAACATGAGCACCAATCGATTCTACACGGTTACGAGCTGCAATGTAATTGATCGTTTGTGACGATTTTTCCCAGTTTACGTAAATCAAATTTACATCGACTTTAGCTTTCGATAAGAATGCTGAGGAAAGAAATTGAAATGATTATCAAAAATATTGAATTTGATTGTAATAAAATTGTTTAAAAATAAAATGTAGCGACATTTTTTCCTACATTTTATTGAGATGACCTTGAAGGCCAGTGAAATACTTTTAAAAAAAATTTAAGTTTTTTCTTTGAGAACACTTGAATGGTATTAATCACTTTTTTCAAGTATCGCTGAAAACGAAGGTCATAACTAAGAGAAGTTTGCAAAGATATTGCGTCAAAAATACTCGAAGAAAATCTTTTTTCTAAATCATGAATGTTTTTTGATAAGATAGAAATTTTTTTCATGCTAAATTTGATAAGACTCGAAGCTTTCCTACGATCAATATTTTTTGATATGTCCTTTAATCACCTTCCTGTGTGTACAATTCATTTGGATTTTGAAATTGATTTTCGAATTTACCAACTTACCGTCATTGAAGATTTTTTTCATGTTTCCTCCATATTCGAGAAATCCGTGAACATAAATGCGTGTGGGCACATTTCTATTGAAATTCGATGCAGTGATCGAAGTAACGTTATCCATCAAAAGGATTTGCGGTGTGATTTTATTTTTCAAAGTGTACAATTCAAATGTAACATCTTGTTCGACTGAAAAGTATGGCTCAACTTGTGCCATAGCTTCTGCTAAATTAACACGCGTAATTAATCCATTGCGTGTTGGCACGAAGACCCATTTATTTGAATCGATAGGGTTTGCATTCGTATGTGCTGGAAATTTTCAATTAGAAATTATAAGTAAAAGATTCAAAATTATTCAAACTGAATTGATGGTGTTTGGTAATTAGTGCTTCTTTGATTTAAATTCAAAACGTAAGTCTTTTTCTTCTCTTTCGAAATCTTCCGTTTTAATCATCTGACAAAATACTTACCCAAAAACGCAACGAAAGAAAGAAGAAACAGCACCATCATCAGAGTACAATAGATTTCGTCAAAATTAAAAAATACTTATAGCCAACACTGTAGTGCGAAATGTTCAGTTGAATTGCAATGAATAAAATAATCGAGTATCCACACGGTGTGGTCTATTTATACTCTGGCATCGGTACTCAATTGGTATTTATGAAATGAACAATAATTTTTTTTATCAATTGGGATCATAAATAGATGGTGGTTCAATAATAATGCGTAAAAAAAAACTGATGAGAAATTTGAAAACATCTTCAGATTATGATGAAAATGATAAAATTTATATAGTGAGAGAATAACATCAAGGCTCGCAATAAATGATTCAGTGCAAAAAAAAAAGTATTTTTCGGTTGAATATTGCCATGATCGACCAATCAGAACGCAGAATGACCATTGCGAACCAAACAATTATCTTGTTCGTCTAATCTTGTGACGTAAATCATTGTGTGATTCGTATTCGTTCGATCTGCTGCTTATCTGTTGCAGGTTTGGTGTTTACAAGTGACACACGTTAGAGATAATCTATATTTCTGATTTTACGTCGCATTTTCATTTCCCATTCGAGAAACAATGGGATTTTTAAACAGCTGCTGATAATCAAATAAAAAAAATACTATTTTTTCAAGCGATTCATATCATTTGGCATTTATTGTCCAAAGGAATTTCATATAAAAACGTGTTATTTTTAAATCAACAATGTTGATGCACCAACGAGATAAACACGAGTGTCGTTGCGTTCAACTGTACTTGACATTACTAAACGAAAAACTATCGAAATAACACTAGAAAAAAGTGTCACTGGCAAATAACAAAATGATTGATTTTTTCGGCATTTTTTAAAGTTAAATCTCAATTTAATAGTAAATCTAGGTCTTATCACATATTTATGCCTACATAAACGAGTTTTCCGATTAGAAATCACATTATCGGCCATTCGGCCACGTGTTTTTCGATAAAAATCATCCAATAGATGTTATTATCGCATTATATGTAATATGGTTACTCTTTTGCAATAGATAGCAAGCAATAGGGTTAAGACTTCCTCATCATATCAAAAACTATTCATTTAGATGCCAAATGTGGAACAATCACAGTTGATTATATTGAGAGAGATATAAATTGGGAATGTCGATTTCAGTGGAAATAATAAAAAGCTTCAATTATTCTCAATATATTTTGTCAAGATTCATTTTTATTTTTGCTTCAGTCTCACTCGATAAAAAGTAGTATGAGATTGAATACATTGATAGAGTTGGTTAGTTTTTCTGTCATTTTTCGTGCAAATCATCATTCGCTTAAATTTTTCTTCATGAATTAGGTTCACTGGCAATTGTAATGTAATATAGACCCGCATGTCTAACAATAGTAAAAGAAAGATTTTTTTTAACCGATTTAAAAAAAAACTCATCGAAAATCATAATCATAATCTTACTGTTGCTTTGCACCCGGTTCACCGCCCATAGCTGTTTTCATATTATTCTTAGTACAGTTTCCTTCCTTTATATCGTTTAGGCAGTCACAAAAGTACCCTAATAAAGGCTGTTCAGAATAAATGCTCTCGGCAAAATATTTGTATGCAGTTTGATGCGAACATTTGCCCGTCTGCAATTGAACGTCAAACAAGTTCGATTTTAAATATAAGGTTCAATTGAAATACGATTCGAAGTAATTAAAAAAAAAA